GTGGTGTATTCATTCAGATTTCAGCAGTTATACTTGCGTCCATGGTATCAAAGCCCCAGGAATACTTTTTAAGGAATCTCTTGTGTTTCAAGTTGTGCATCAGCAGCTACCATGGGTCAGCAAGAACCATACAAAGGAGGGTCTTGAATTATGTCTACAATGTCAGGCTTTTATCAGATTTACACATTGGTGATGATGAATTTCATATGTTAGGTGTAAAGAACAAACTTCTCCCTAAGTACGACTCCAATACAAGCCCAGTGTGCCATATGAAGGCTAGATGAGACTAGAAAAGGCAGGACAGATTCATCATCACAGAATGAAAAGCACACCGCAATTTCAGAGGATAAAAATGTGAAATCTTTCTTACCGTAAGTCCTTTATTAGAAACACATCCAAAATGTACATATACTCTAAGAATAGTCTGTAGTAGAAGAATGGGGGGAAAAGGTATGCCAGTCAAAACATTATGTAAAAGATGTCACATGAAATTAACTTTAAGGAATAGAGAGCATTATTTGATGTTCTCCAAGAAGACAAAATTTTAAAAAGAGGTGTCCACTGCAAGCTGGAATTCTTTTCATTTTTATATTATCTTGCAGAGGCAAATGCGTGTTGTGTGTGTGTGCTTACTACGTAATTAATTCCTAGTAAGTCTACAGTGTTTCTTGTCAGAAACAGTGATATTCTATATAAACTCCTTTACATTAATTTAGATCATCAAGTTTCAGTGGTCCCATGTCCCTTCTCAATTTTCAGCACAAGGATGGTCAATATTACCTAAAATCTTAGTTTCCTTTTGCTATGGAATATGCCAAGGTGGCATAAACACTTACTCTAAGTGCCTAAATGTTTGCAGGGTTAGGAAGTCAAATATACCAAGTATTTAGGAAGCCTATTTTGTAACAAATATAAACATTTTTATATATGCTGTTTTGCAGTATTGTGTTAATAAGCATTTTTTTAAAAAACGTAGAAAGTAAACTTTGACACTGGAACAGCAGCACCATTCTGGGATAAGATCCCCTTTGCATTCTGTACTAGTCCATGGGCCTAGGAAATCTAGGATATTCTGACATGGCCCAGACTGAAGGCTCCAGAGTTAGTTTTTTATTCTGTCATACAACAAATTAACAACCAGCAGTGATAACACAGTTTTGAGCCCAAGATAGTTAAGGCTATGAAAATTCCAAAGAACTAGTGCCTCAGCTAGTTAAATGAATTCTGACAGATCAAAGTTAAATGAATGTATCATTTCTAGATCTGCTACGTGGAGAATCACCATGATGATGATGATTTTTTTTGTATCAGGGAAACCTCACAAGATTGAGACAACACCAAAATGATGAAACACCACTTTTAAAAAAGGGAACACCTAAAACATTAGCCATAACTTTAATCATCCTTAAATTATATTTGTGAATATCAGAAATAATATTATAAGTCAAGTTTCTTTTATTAGTAGTAATGCTGCTTTTCACATGGTGTTTGACCAAGAATGAGATGAGAATTAAAGACAGTGTTCTCTCTTGTGGCCCTGAAATCAACTCGGCTTAACTGTAGAGATACTTTCCAGATCTAGAAATGCTTAGAAATAAACCATACAACAGGAGGTCTGGGAGTAATGGAAATTATGTTTTCTTCTTTCATCAAAAACAACTTTAAAATGTTCATTTGGATTTTACGATAGAACTCTGCTAGTTACAGTCCTGTAGTAAAATACAGTGCTAACACCAGCTTATAGACATAATAAAATAAAAATGCTATTGAAGTTCTGCTATATTCACAAATACTGCATTTATATATGTACATGCAAATAAACCTCATTATTAATGATAAAATCTTAGGGTTTTAAATAGACACATTTCCTCCTACCTACCCATCTCCATATATTCACAACCCCAAGATGAGTTTTCACAAGCAACATTTAGATTTGTGAAGGAAAAAATGAATATTTCCAGTACCTATCCTCTTTTCCTCCCTCCCTTTCAGCTTTGGGAGAGGCAGCAGCACATAAAATTGAATGCAAAACCTAAGGTTATAAGACCTTCTGTGATCCATATTCACACTTATCCAATGAGTTGGCTGCCAAATAGGTCAGAAGAGTTTTGAACAAAGTAATGTATTTGCATATAAGCATTTCATAAAAGTGATCCTCTGCATACACACACACACAACGGATATAGAAAATGTTTCTTAGAAGTAGCATTTTAACTATCCTGTGTAAACCCAAGAATGAATCACCAATGAATACGTTTATGCTGCAACTGTTAATCATGATTAATCAACAAAGTGTTTGGTATAGCCAACAACTACCTCCCCCCACCAAAAAAAAAAAAAAAGAAAATGGAAAAAACAATAATAGAAGCCAGTGATTGTAAAGCAAAAAGAAATTCTGGATATACAAATATCTTGAATGTTAATATACAAAGATATAAAAGCATATCTGAACCTACCCGTATTATTGAATACCTTTCAAAATTATTTAGGCCTGGTTTCAGGGTAAGAGTTTGGCCTTTTCCCAGGATAGTACAGGAGCCATAACCTTCTATAGCAGAAAAGAAGAGAAAGATACTTCCAAGTGAGTACCTGCACTCCAGCTTGCCTCTAAGTCTTTCCCTCTATGATTGTCTTATTCATGCTCTTAATTTCTCAATTAAACCAAATCACTTCTTATCTTTTTGTTATTGCTAAGTGATTTAAAAGTTCCAGGATACAAATGCTAATATATCTGAAATGCTTATAAATGATCAATCATCTTTTGGATAAAAGGTGACAGCACGCAAAGAGTCTTTTAAGGACCTGTTTTGGTTTCAGTGCTTTGAAAAGAAAGGATGATGTACCAGTAGGTCTCTCCATACCATTTCCTAAAGTTTCGCTTGACTACAGACCTTCAGCCTGATCAGGTCCAGCACCTCATCGTCATCAGCTCACTCCGCAGCATGGACATAACATGGTTTTGAGGGTAATTTCCTCAGCAGCCCTGTAAATTGTGAGTCACTGAGATTATACAAAATTGGTATTTGGCTTCCTTTCAAGTTTCACATTCATCACATAATCGGGCTATGAAGCATCCCATACAGAGAAGGCGGCATCCAAAGGAATGAGCAGAACATGTTTAAATAATACACACTACTAAATTTTACAGCTGTCCTTTTATATTCAAATGATATTAAGCACACTGTCATGTTAAATTGGAAACACTTTAGATCTAAAAATATACTACTGAAACAAATGACACAGTGAGAAGAAACAAGACCAAAATCTATTTGTATAAAATACAGTCTATAATTTCAGAACAGATGCTACATATAGCCATACTTATTAGATATCTTCTAAATTATCATCTGCGCATTTATATTTTTTAAAATTGCCTCTGATGAGTCTCAAATTTAGTATTTTCACAGAGTTTAAAACATCTATGTTTTAAAACATCTTTATGTTTCTTTTTAAAACTGCAACTGAGCATAAATATAATTCTAAAACAAAATTCCTGACTTCAAAGAACGTCTTCAGGTAACCTTCCTCCAGAAATCATTAAAACTAAAAAACTTCCTTAAAATTATACCTCCTCTCTCTTTTGAACGGTCTCCAAATAGGAAAGTTCATGAATTGGGCTTCATTTTAATTTTTTTCTGGCTTTTGGATGCTTCTGCACTGCTTTGACAACACTATTACATTTTATCTTCTCTTCTCCCAAAACAAGCTGTTCATTGTATGTTGCCCTCAAGTATTTAATTGAAATATAACCTAAAGGAAGAAATTATGCTTCTTGCTTCAATTCCCCTTAAGCATCAGTGATAATTTCAATCATAACAATTGCCAGGTTTATGTTTTTTATTCTGGATTCCTAATTATATAGGATTGAGAGTAATTCAGAAGTGTTTCAGAATCATCTACTGCCAAGATTCTGAAAAATGTCTTTTGTGAAACAGAATGTTAATGCTCTGAGGACTCTGTTATGTCTGCACTAATATGTTCTGTGCACTTTTATGAAATGAGAGGGTAAAGGTCCAGGTGTATCATGACTAATATTGTAATACACCTACTGTCCTGTTACCCTGTCAGTCAACAGATAATGAGAACCTATTTTATTTCCATTTTTCGTTATATATATTTATATATTGTTAATTTCTAAAGCTCGCTAGTATAAACTCAGGAGGATCAGCCTGATAAATATTTAAGTGTTATGGTCAGTTTTACATTGATCTTATCTAGACCATGAATGTCAGCATATGACTGATGAGAGGAAATAATGTTTCCTGAGAATTGTCTAAAATGCACAACATTTCAATCAATGTTTTAGTTCTTAAATACCTCTTTATTTAAAACTCATCTGTTATAAGGAGCTATTTATTAAATAAGATCAACTTTTGGCCTTTTTTTTTTTTTTTTTTTTTTGGCCTGTTTTAAAAAGTTTTATCCTGTTATCATGCTTGAGACTTTGCAAACTCTTGCCCCTTATCCTTTATCTGCAGTGAAATTTCTTGGAAATCTTAATCTCTTTCTGGCTAAACTAGTAATAACCAGTTGCAATAACCAGCATCACAAATGCACACGCACACACACACACACAGACACACACACACACAAGGATAACAATGAAATAAAAAATGCCTAATACGGAGTATGTTAATAAACTTCACTATAGAGAGATGGCCAAGAAGAGCCATGGCTCCTTTTTCCATTTTTATAAGACATAACACAAGTAGTATTCTGGAAGGCTACAAAGTTATGTTTTTCCATTTGTACCACTTCTTGAAAGAAGTAGGATTTTTTTTTTTTTTTTTTTTTTTTTTTTTTTTTTTTTTTTTTTTTTTTTTTTTTTTTTTTTTTTTTTTTTTTTTGCGTATGTATCTACAGACTCTAAAGGTAGGCAAAGAAGAACTATGAGACCAGTGAATTACTTTTCACTACTTCTGCTATGCTAATCAGCTGAGAGAAATCTGGGTTTAGTATTAGGAGCCCTTCTGAATGGCTTAATTCCTTTACAGCTACCATTAGCTGTCAGCCTCTCCATGGATATTGTCCATGTGCACTTTGAGGTAGTCATTCCTTGTAAACTTCTTATGGCAAAACTGGCATTCTGCCAGTGGACGATTAGGATTATGAGTCATCTTGTGTCGGATCAGCATTTTCTTCAGGCTAAAAGCCAAGTCACAAACCTAGAAAAGACCCAAAGATACCAATCACATTATATTGAAAAATCTGAAGATACACCAAGTTATCACTTACAGAAAATACAATATGCAAATTCCTATTATCAAGTATATACTGACAGGCTTAAGAACAAAAGTGCTCTGGAAATAAATGGAACTTAACATCCAAGGTAAAAGGTAAAGAAAATTAATTATAGTTCCAAGAGTTGTTTGCATTTAATGTGTGTCCTCTGCATCCCAACCACTCTCCCTTCCCCCAGCTACTATATTTTTAAACATCTCTAAAGACACAACTCCCTGGAAACAGTATCTTTCTCCCCATAATTCAGTGTATTAACAATTTCATGTTAAACCTCTTGAACAAAATGCCTTGATCTAGAGGGCACCTTTCTAGTATATGGCATAAATAGCACAAGACATGTCTCACCAGTGATCCCTTCAATCTGGACCCATGTGTGAAGTAAAAGGTTAACACTGCTTTAAGCATCCTAAGCAGAAGTTCGTTATCCACTATTCCAGTTCTTTATTTCCAATTAAAAATACTTCACATTTTCTTCATGTAAGCTCTGCGACATTGCCACCTGACTCAACAGACATTAAACAGCCCAATAATTTAAAATATTAAGTTAACCCAGAAGATGTGAGGCATAGTTCTTCAAAAATAAAAGTGAAATGGAATTTTTTTATAATACCAAATTTTCATTCAAAGTTTGCTGTTATTCACAAAAATTCCATTTACATGAAATTCTTCAAAAGCACATGCACGATAAAATAAAATACTTAAATAATGTGAAAATTCCCTGAAAAACATAGTGAATATAATGGGAGAGGTAAAGCCTTGTAAAAATACTGGAAAGAAAGCTGAAGTTCTGAATGAGAGGAAGCATGTGAAAATACAAAAGCAAATAAAAAATTCACTCGCTCTTTATGGGAGAAGGGGGATTTTACATTCTCAGCAACAAGAAACACAGAAGGGCAAGCCCCCAGTTTGGTGAAGAGAGGGAGTAATCCAATAATGTATTTTGAATTACACATTAGTAGCATAGTGTGACATAAAGAAAATAAGTTTTAGAGTTTGCTACAGACTGAATGTTTGTGTCCTTTGCTATGGACTGAATGTTTGTATCCCCTCAAAATTCATGAGTTAAAGCCCTAATCCTTAATGTGATGGTGTTTGAGGTGCAGCCACTGTGAGATAATTAGGGTTAGATGAGCTCATGAGGATGGAGTGATGGGATTAATGCCCTTATAAAAACGGGAAGAGCCACAGATTCTCCCTCTCTCTCTCTCTCTGCATGCACACACCAAGGAAGGCCATAACCAGGAAGAAGGCCCTCACTAAAAACCCAACTACTCTGGCACCCTGACCTCAGATCCATGAAGGCAGAGAATCTTCATGTATTTTATTCACTCATATATCCTAAGGGATAAGACAGTGCCTACAGAGTAGCACTAAATAAGTATTTGTTGCATTAACTAACCAAGTTTCAACCTGATTCTATCACTTCCTAAGGAAGTTTAAATGAACAAACTATGCCTTTTAACTTCAGTTCCCTCACCTATAAAATGATCACAATGATCATTATCTCACAGAATTAATACTAAGATTAAATGAGGTAGTCTACACAAATGGATGTTGTACTGAAGACAATAAATGTTAGTGCCTAGTTTTTCTCTTTCATCTTCTCTGGCAAAAAAGAATCATCAGCAGGTTGGAAAGGAGAGACTACAACAGCTACCACATGTGGGGTCCGAGAGAGAACACAGCTACTATAAAGAGTAGCAGCTCCCTGCAATATACAAATAATTTTAAAGCAAACAGAATAATTTTCCACGACAAACATAATGCTTCCAATCAATCTGAGGAAAGGACGTTTTTCTTGTGAAATACCTTTGTAAACATAAGTTTTACAATCACAATTTAAAACAGACTATATACCTTTAAAGTCACTGAAAAACACAGCCAGGTAAGTTCATGTCATGCAGTAAAAATCGGGATAAAAAGGAAAGACCCAGGAACATGAAAGAGCATAAAATACAATGACAGACTATATAATACATGAGTTAGGATAAGTGATATAAAATACTGAGTACCCTTAAAGACTCTGAAATTAGGGTAAAATGGAAAATGCAAACACATGCTATTTTCAAGAAATGTACTTAAAACAATACACGCACCCAAACATAATTTTACAAGGGGGATTGGAATGTGCCTAAGTGTAGAAAATGGTGCTGATGACAGTGCAACGGTACTGAGTAGCCCTTCCTCAAAAGCACCTTGGATGGACAGAGATTATTAATATTAGTATTTTCACAAGCCTTAAAAGAGCCAGGAGTACTACCAGTATGATAGCTCCTAGTCAAAGATGTATATACAAGACGTTCATCCCAGAATTATTTATAAAAGTGGAGTATTACAAATAACTTATTTGCCCAAAGTTAATGAGTATATTCATTTTGATATAATGAGATGAAGAGATACCTCTCAGCTGTTAAAAAAAGATCATACTTCAAAAAATATGTAAAAAAAGGCAAGGGAAAATGTAAAGGGAAGAAAACAGAATAAGATTAATGCACAATTTATAATACTGAAATAAAGATGGTAACTGTATCTGTATAAATAAGTATTGGAGGAAAATATGAAGAGATTAATGTTAATATTAGTTGACATCAGTTGGAAATTTGGAATCATTTCATTTCTGTCTTTATTCCCTTCTGTATTTCCTAATTTTTCTAGGACAAAAAAGGAAACAAACTTCCAAATGTTACTTTGGAATGCAAAAAAATACCGCTGGCTGAGTGAAGGTTCTACATCCTCATCTTCCGTGCATGCCTCAAGCCCACTGCCATCACACTGATACGTCAAGTTCCGTAACTCCCTAAACAGCTTTGATAGGTCACCAACTACCTCCACATGGTTAAATGGAATGGGGACTCCTGAATCCTCATTTAACATGAAGTTTCAGTATCATTTGACATACCTGGCCACTTCCCTCCTGCCTTTCATTTAGTTTCCATTAGGACCTGTTCTCCTTGTTTTCCTTCTATTTTTCTGGCCATCCCCCGCCCCCCGCCCCCGCCGTCATTTTCCTGTACAGGCTCCTCCTCCACCCTAACCTTGAAGTCTGGATCTCAGTGCCTGTTCCTTAGCCCACTTCTTCATTCGTTAGGTGTTTTCTCCCCTGGTGATCTTAATCATATTCATGCTCTTTGTTACTGTTTATATGGAGATACTCGCCAATATCTTATCTCTGATCCAAGTCCTCTCTCCTGATCTGCACAGTGGAGGATCTAAATGCCTGCTGGATAGCTCACTGGTGCTGCAAACTCAGTAAGTCTAAAGTTGAACTGGAATCGAAAAAATACAACAAACTAGTGAATATGACAAAAGAGAAGCAGACTCACAGAGAACAAACTAGTGGTTACCAGTGGGGAGAGGGAAGGAGAGAGGGGCAATATAGTGGTAAGGGATTAAGAGGTACAAATTATAGCATATAAATTAAGCTACAGGGCTTCCCTGGTGGTGCAGTGGTTGAGGGTCTGCCTGCCGATGCAGGGGACACGGGTTCGTGCCCCGGTCCGGGAAGATCCCACATGCCGTGAAGCGGCTGGGCCCGTGTGCTCCGCAAATGGGAGAGGCCACAACAGTGAGAGGCCCGCATAACGCAAGAAAAAAAAAAAAAAAAAAAAAAAAATTAAGCTACAAAGATATACTATACAACACAGGAAATATTGCAAATATTTTATAATAACTACAAATGGAATATAACCTTTAAAACTTGTGAATCACTATATTGTACACCTGTAACTTATATAACATTGTATATCAACTACACTTCAATTAAAAAAAAGACTCTGTCTCCCAAATCTAATTCTCAAAACAAAAATGTGCCATCCACCTGACACTTGCTGGAAATCTGGCAGTCAGCCTTGATCCAATGTCTCCCTCATCCCCACCTCATTTAGTCAATTACCACTTCTTCCCTGTGCACATTTCTAGAAGACATTTAACTGTCTCCACCTGTGCTGCCACAACCCGAATGAAAACCATTACCTGCCTAGACCAGTGCTTCTCCAGCAATAAGAAAACGTTTCAGCGTGCACCTATTATCTGTATTTTTAAATAAAATATACCAAGTGTACTAAGGTATTTATAAGTTATATTATTAGAGACAAACTTTTAAGAGAATCTGAAAAAAGGAAATAAACGTTTTTGTATTACTAATTATGACTTCATATTTTCATCAGGCAACATCTAAAATATGATATTTAGGGTCAAAGTCATTTTTAACAAAAATGTAGACAAAAACATATTTCAAATGTCTTCTGGATAATTTCAGTGTTTTGGTTTACTTTTTTCCGGATATGATGATGTCATTTGTTTAATCTAAATTTGCTGCTGACCAGTAGTATTAACTCTGTTGTTTTCTTTTTGTTGCCTTGTGTCTGTATTATTAATATTATTTTCAATCTGTAGTTTCTGTAAAGGACTCTTTTGTACAAGATTATTTTATTTAAAAACAGATAACAGAATCCGTTTCTCCACTTAACTGGGAACACATAAATCACAATCCTTGCAAGCACGGAAAACAAACAAGTGACAACCTGCATCGCCGTGGAGCTGCCACTCTTCCCTCAGATCACATTTAGTACTGTACATCACAAGAAACCAGCTGTTAACAAGGGCACCAAAGTAACAGAGGGCACCAAAGTCAAGCCCGCTATTCAATGATAATAAAGTTTAATTTTGTTCTTAGTTTTAAAATACACAATAAGCAGGGATCAAAACTGTAATCTTTCCTTCCCATTTCCCAATGGATGTCGCCTAGTGGGATATGCAGCTCCTCACTCTGGAAACCAAAGCCTAGATTATTGCAATAGCCAGTGTCAGTGGTTCTCAAAGGGGTGGTACAGTTTCCCCTCCCCTCAGGAAATGTTTGGAACTAGGGGAGGTGTGTAACTGTCCTGAAGAATGGGGGTTGCTCCATGCATTTTATATAGGAGAT